TCAAAATTCGAAAAAAAATGATAACTTACCTATTAATTATTAGAATACTAGTATAAAATTACATATTATTTACAAATCATTAGAAAAAAAAGGTAAACCGATTTTATTTTAGAGTTGAGAATAAAATAATTAATATGGTTCATAAAAGAAAAGTGTTTAAAAAGTGGGTAAGTGGATGACGCTCTGCTGTACAGTAGGTTACAAGTGGGCCATTGTATAATGGATTGTATTAAAATTGAATTCGATGATATAATATCATTGTATAAGAAAAACGATTCTGAGCGGAGACGGTTTGTCAGTCTGGATATTTTATGTTGTTATTATTTATTATATAATGTACCTAAGTCAAATTAATATTATAATATTATTATTTTTATTCTTTTCTATGGTGAGAAACAAAGCGTTAGAAATTAAAATCCCATTATTAGCGGTTTTTCGTAATTTATCGGTGGTTTTTCCCGTGGCATTAAATAACTATAGATAAAATCGAAAAATGACCTGTTTAAAATAGGTACCATCTTGATCCAATTTGCTAAAAGATAAGGTATTATATATAGAAATCGATGCACTCCTTCTGGTAGAAATTTTGTATAAATAATATAAAAAAAAATTTATAAAAAAATAAACACCATTGTAAAACCAATAGCTTCCTCGCTCAGCTCAGAATCTAAAAATATTAAAGATGATGCATACAAATAAGCTGAAATTACATACAGATTGAGAATGTCTATGCACTTTTTTATTAAAATTAACGAATATATGCAAAAATAATATGCATTTTTATTGTTCATATCATTGTCGCATAGCTGTATAAAGCTGTCATTATATAGCTTGGTCACTGCTATATAAATCGAGAACATTTAGTAAAATATACTCAACTCCTAAACTACCGAGCCCTGCTGTAAGCTATGGCAGCAACGGTAGCCTATATATACAGTGCTTGCAATACCTATATATGGTGTACAAAACGTAGGTATAAACGTATAATATGTGACATTGCAGCCGCATTTAAACTCTATATAATTGATGAAGAATTCAAGAATGTATTATCTTATACACTGCAGCTGGCTTCTCGAATGAACACTTTATTAAGCACATACCTACCTATATATATACACGTTATATTAATACCTAATCCTATTACGGAGGGGCTTCTAAACTTTATAAACACAGAGAATACATAATATACTTTAACACCGATGGATCATTACCCATCTCACTACACAATACTTGCACATTATATACTATATATATATTATATATTGTACAGTATATACAGACATACAGTAAGTACGAGTTTCGTCACGTTTACATTACACCTGTATGGCTGTATGGCTGTAACTATATATTATTATCTATTTCACCGTGATTTGACAGTTCAACACATATGCAGATAATAATAATTTACTCACTTACTCGGCATCGGTACCTACTTATTATTGGTTATCTCCGATTTAAAAAGTTGTACTTTAGCAAATAAAAGAGCAAGAGCAAAATGAAAAGTACCTAAGATAGAAATGGTTGCTAAAAAAAAATTAAATGTTTGCTGTATGGAAATCTGATAGTTGCTAATCGGCATAGTCGTTAATCATATTTTGTAATAGTTGCTCGGCTTATATTTGCTTTTACTGAATAACTTACAGATTTAGTGTCAAAAAATCTTATTATATCATATAATCGCCTGTATTAACTTAACCGTTAACTCAATGTTAGTATTTCCTTAAATTGTAAATATTAAAAAAAATTGGTTAGATAAACACGAATAACCTATAGTCTATACACGGGTAAGTAGTCCTTAGACATTATAGTAAGAGATAATCGGAATTAATTCTTTAAGAAGACAATTATTTTAATAGATAACAAATTACAGATAATGGATATCAGTGCACTATTTGTTTTCTCTCACTGACCCATATGCCACATAGACAAAACGCATTTTCGCAGAATCATTTTTTCTATGTTTTTAAGTAATTTTAGAGTAAAATCAACCATTGCAGAAAAGATTGAGAATAATATTTTTGAGAGAATGACAATATACATATATATACTTATCGATTTGTCTAAATCTTGTTTCAAAACAATTTAATCGTCAATTAAATTTACACCTTTTTTTTGTTTATTTTGAAATTCGAATACAAAGTCAAACAACAATTAAATATAAAATCAATGTTACAATTTTTTTTATAGACTTTTTGAGTTCAGGCTTTAACAAAATTTTATATTTAAAGCAAGAATAACAATTTAAGTAATTTTGTTGTAATTCAAAAATATGTGTGTGAACGTTGTATTCATGACATGTTCAATTTGTATAGGTAGGTAAGGCTCAAGAATGCAAAAAAAATTTTCAAAAATGCTATACAAGGTTCCTAAGAAGCCTTACTTCGCATAAGTATTTCTTACTAAAGTCCAAACATCTTAAACATTTACAAGCACAATTTTTATTTATAAACATTTGAAGTTCAAATGTTGACAACATTTTTTTAACGAAGAATAACGATTTAAATAATTTCATTGTAACTGAAAAATATTATTCGTGGGTACTTACTTGAAAGTTTTAAATATATCATCCCAATTTACTATAGGTACACAGTGACATTTTCAGAATATTTAGATTAACTTTAAGGTTTTGTCTATTTATACTACCTATATACCTTTTAATAGTTATGGTTACCTACGTGTTATAAGAAGAATTGATCATTAGTTGTAGTGGATAAAAGCGGTAGTGTATGTTAACTTTTCAATTTCAAAAATGTTAGTTAACACCTTTATCCATTGACCCCTTCAATTTATAGTTAATAACCTCACCGTTCTATTGTAAGTCTTCGTTGTTTTAAAGGTAATAAGAATAATATCTGATATAAATAATAAAAATAATATATTATACTTTTATAATCACCAATAATATACTAAATGTTGCTGCAAAAATTGGTTCAACTTAAGGACAACGGTATTACTATATTTACTAATATTAAAATAAATTACCTACTTTAATAGCAATAATATCATAAAGTATACTGTCTTCTTAGTTAGTAATATACTAGGGCAACTAGGCAGACAATTCGTCTCCACTCATTTTTCGTATGCAATGATTTATCATTGAATTCAATTTTTTTTTTATTATTGCCACTTGGGCCATTAGCTATTTTGTTTGTTTGTAGGTTGTTAGTAGGTGGAAGAACGATTGAAAACACGTTTTGTATTTATGGCAAGGATTCTTTGCTAAAAATCCCGGGTGGTCACCCATCCGGGAACTAGCAACGCCGGACGTTACGTACACTTAGTGCGTTTCCGCACTGCGCCACACTAAGCCACAATTATAATTTAACACATCCATTACAGTGACTTTGGTACCTATAGGTACTCAAAGTCAAGGTACACTCGACACATACTGTATACAGACATACAGTAGTATAGCATTACCCATACACCATTATCTGCATTCAATGATATACATTTTTTTTTATTACAATTTCATACATTTTCAGAGTATTAAAAAAAACGTATATCATTTAACGCTGATATAATGGTGTATGTGTAATGCCATCATAGATATAATATAATTGTTTTCATTATTTGGGTTTCTAAGAAACTGTCGTAACTCGTCTTATAATATAACGTTGTACCTAAACTTGTAATTTGAAGTATTGGTAATTGGAATTGCCATGTAGTTAAACAATAGACTAACGAGCTATCCTACAATTTAGTAAGCTTTCGTTTTCCACCTAGTACCTAAGAAGTAAACTTGTATTTTGTTACCGGTGTTTAACGTAATTAATTTTTTTATATTTTTCAAACTTATTAATTACATACGATTTCAGAATTTCAAATTCTTCGAAGAAATCGATCTATAAGTAATTTCAATATTAAAATGTGAAAAGTTTAATGTAAAATATATTTGTATAATGTGTCAACATGACAAAAAGTCAAGTTAACTTAATATATCCACTTTAAATGTCCGTCTTTATATAAGTAATTAATTTTAATTTAGGTACTTTTAATTATTATAATAATTAACCAATTATATAATTTATTTTTAAACATTTTTTATCGATTGAACATGAACATATTGGTATTTTTATAGTCATTTTAAGTTTACATTTTCACGAAATTGAGCATTAAATAACCAATAATAATAAATTTTGTTAATTTTTTGTAATTTTATAATATTAATTCAACTTACCAGCTGTCCGGTTACCGTACTAATATTTAATAATAAGTAATAACAATACAAATATAATATAAAATATCCTAGACTGACAAACCGTTTCCGCTCTGAATCGTTTTTCGTATACAATGATATTATATCATTGAATTCAAATGTAATACCATCTATTACAGTGGCCCACTTGTAATCTATACTGAACCTACAGCAGAGCGACATATACTTACCCGCTTTTTTTTTATCTTGAATTTAATTAATTTGTCGATACTCAATCTCCTTAATACGTAACATCAATCTTTATTTTCATTTTTTTCATTGTTTCTTTGGTAGATTACTGCATTGACGTCTGACTACCTACATATTATAGTTCTAAAATAAAGTTGTTTTACATTTTTGTGAGTTATTGTTGATATCAAAGTTATTAGTCGGAGAGAAGGGATTCATTACTTGAAGATTAAAAATGTAAAATATTTTTACCTATATTGTCATATTTAATCAAAAGAATTTTGAATATTTATTTTAAATTCATAAGTGTCGATATTGTGTTTAATAATTTAATTTTATCGTTATGTATACTTTAAAAAAAATAATAATTCCCTTGTTCAAGAATACATTCGAATCATAGAAATGTATTTTAAATATTTTGTTTGACGTTTAAATCTATATAAGTGGAATTATTATTTATTTTAAAAATAAACATAAAATTAAATTATTAAACATGGATTTCTATACAACAACTGTCAACTCGAATAAAAAACTGTAGGACATTCATTTGAATTGTATAATTATATGTATTCGGCAGGATTGCTTCGACACTATATATAATAATATATAAAAGATGGAAAGTAAGTTATACTTTTTATTTTTAATGGAATACTAGATATATTATTAATTATTATAAAAGCATATAATTATAGTATTGTTACTAACTTTTGAAAGAATATGTACTTACCGAATTTCCACTGGAAGGTGTGAATACGTATTTGTGGTATAAATATAAGAAACAGGGAACAGCTTAAAATTAATCAAATATTTTGAAACTGTCATTATTTAAAATACTAACTTTTAATGTTTATAAAAAATATTCGTTAACATACGTTCAACTATTTTTATTTCCAATATTACGAGGAACACTATATCTATAACATAATTTACATATAATATAGGTAATAACAATATTCTTACCTATTGTGTGTAAAATAATTGCAAAATATAAAATGTAAAATTGTTTTTGTTTTATATACCTAATACAATTTATAATTTAAAAGGATTTAGTGTTAATACAGGTACAAGATAATAGAATATGAATCCTAGTTTACATTAAAATATATACAAGATTCAAGATGCGAAACGTTGTAAGGCGTTTTGTATAGGCAATAAAATTTGTTTTTGTTCTGGTCGTGGTAGTGTGTACTTACTATTGTGTACGTATAATGATCACTTGTTCTTGCTCTTAAACATTCATGTCGAATGTCGATAATATTATAGTAGGTATGTTATGTATAATGCTACTGCTAAATTGATCAATTTTATTCCATCGTACCGATCGATCCAATGATACCGAATAGATATTGAAAACAAATATTAGCGTAAATCGGAAATTCATGGTTGGTCAACATTTTTAAAGTCAAATTTTGATTTTGGTTAGTGAATCTTCAAATTTATTTAAAAGTCGTTTTCTTAGAATCTATAGAAGACAAGGCGAGGAATCCAAACGTCTTTTAAAAAATCCATATGGCATAATTAGATCGATCAGTACGTCGGAATAAAAATAAGACTTTTATCATGGTAAACAGTCGGTTTCGAAATCCTATATATACTATAATAGCCAGTGGTCAAGCAACTTCAAAATTATATAATAATATTATAATAAATTGCACTGCGGCGCGTGATAAATATAAATCTAATAGAAAATATAAATACCTACTCGCGAGACTATTGTACGTCCGAGACAGTCTAGCGCGGCGGCGCGGAGAAGGCCGCGTAGTGTTTATATTTAAATGCGCTCGTGGAATTTTATTCTAAAGCGGCGTTTGGATGTAGAAAGCGACGGTACGTCATATTCGATGGTTGTTGGGTGTTGTTGGGTTCATCGACGGGTTTAAGCGATCCATATGAACAATTAGAGGTTATCAAACTTATATGGCACGAGTACGTGTGGCCGAGGATTAAGTCATTAGGTATAATATTATTAAGTCCATAAAAATGATAGGGACACGAGAAAATTCACACTAAATACTAAGAGAGCCCTTTGAGTGGCGTAAATTGTAGTATTTTTGTTTGTTTTTTTTTGGGGGGGAGGGGGGGTCAAAATATTAGAAATATGTTTAAATATTTCGGGAGGAGGAGACACCCTTCCACCCATCAAACAATTTACTATGGCAATACATCTATAGATGTAAAAATTATGTAGCAGTCTTTGTCCCTTGAAGTTTTGTAGAATTATTAAATTACCTAGTGAATATACCTGCACAATTCACATCAAGTTATAGTACTATGCAGATCATAATGATTAATGAGCAAAACTTTAAGTGTACTATCGCAATATAAATATTTCAATGAAAAATTAGTAATTGCATAGAACGCACATGGCAAAATAATATTCAAGCTTAAGCTTAATAATTTTAAAAATAAAATATTCGATGTGATTTTCAATGATATAGAACTTAAACAGGGAGTCAAAACAATATCTTTGCCTTCACTACAAAATATCATGGAAGCTACTGCCCACTTTTCTCTCCGCAGATTATGGGTTCAATGGTCTCTCTTGAAAATATATCCAATCATACTTATTTTTATACTTGTTGTCATTGTCTTATACAAATAATAATGTTAAAAAAAATAAATTAAATTTGAATATTTGCAGTACAATAACAATTTTGCAGTTTGTTTAATTTATTCCACAATCCGTCGTACATTTAATTTAATTTCTTCTGTTCGGTCCTAATTTTTCTCTGGTATGGGTATATACTATATAGGCACTATATTGCTCGTTTTCCCTACCCTTTAATCCCACCCCTACGAGTATCCGTCTGAACGTTGGTTGCTATGTGCATATACGTTTATTGTGGGACCTATACGTGGAGGATAAACGTTCGACCGCTTTTTCGGTTGTATAATAATAATGTTAGGTACACGCGATGTTTGTACACACAATAATAATAATATTAATAATAAAACGCGATGACGAGGACGCTGGAAGAAACGACTGGTGCATGATAATGGGTGCACGTACGTACTAATAAACGGAAAGGCGGACGGGAAAACGTTTTACATGGACGAGCGGGTGAGGCCGGCGGCGGGGTTGGTGAGCGTGAGCGAACCGTTTCGCGCCGGCGTCGGGTCCCGCTCGCGACGACCGAACAAAAAGCTGCGGCGGCGGCCAACGACGACGAAAGCTTTGCCCGGTAGATGGCGTCGCCCGCTCCGTACGACGGGCGGGACGCCGACGGTCGCTCGCCCCTCCCGTCGCGACGACGGCGACGCGCGCACCGCGCCCGACTATTTCTGTTTTATTGATTTAATAGGGTTTCATTAATATATTTTTCAACGGGCCCCCTCGCGCGCGCACCGTTCGCTACGTTCGCCGTTTCCACACGCTTTTTCGGGGCACCCCGCGGACCCGTCACGCTCGCGCCGGGCCGTCCGCCGCCGCCGCCACTGACGCCACCGTCGCCCGACGACGACGCCGCCGCCGCCACGCGCAATACATTCTCATATGACTGCCGACGTGATACCGTATATACGATAATAATATTATATATTATCGTCGTGTCGTATATACATGTATACATAGGTGTGTGTGTATATGTATATATATGCGCGCGTATATATTAATGTTGATTTTATAATATAATAATATAATATTTGCCCGTTAATAACAAATATATACGCGTGTATATGTATACGTGTATGTATGTATCGTATATCATATACAAGGCACCCACACACTAATATCGCCGCTGCATGTATTATTATTACTATTATTATTGTTATTACGACGACCGGTCTCGCGTAAGTAGGCATCACACACGGTATCGCCGCCGATTTTAAATAATTTAATATAATAATAATAAACCGCCAAAAGTTTTTTTTATTATAACGTCCCGACGCGTCCGCAATAATCGAATATTGTCGTCCAGTCCAGTCAGGTGCATTATTATCACGGTGCGGTGTCGCGTTATCATCGTCGCTATCAAAACGACTACGGAGCACTGAGCAGCAGCAGCAGCAGTACATGACGTCGAGCCGGCCTCAGCAGCAGTGCTTCTTGTGATATTATCATTACCTTATTGTTATTATAAAATTGTAAAGTTGTACAAACGCGAGTTTTTCGTCCGCGCCAATCTGTCGTCGCTGCCGCCACCCCGTCCACTTCCTGCTTCGAAAAAGCTCATTGTCGACCGACCGCTAAACGACGCTCTTCCGCGTTGGCGTATGCGCTCAATATAGAAACGGGTACGTCAAGGAAAGTTCCCGATCGCCGCAGCGAGGTAAGTGCACCGTGTTGCAATAGAGTCGAACCCTCGAACCCAGGTACTACTATAGGTATAGTTGGTACATACAGTTACCAACATTTTTTCATACCTATACGTAGGTACCAGGTATTGAACACGGCACGGTGTGTATATTACGTCTTTTTAGGACGCTATAATTCCACAATCATCACCGTGCCGCGTACGACGTTTTTGGCGGGTTTGGCTTATTACCAATAATGTTTTATATTATATCCTGGAGTATTGGTAAACGCTGTAACCACACGTCGATAGAGTTGGAATATTAATTCAACTTCACGGTAGCCTGCGGTATCGGTTGGTCGATAACATGAATCGACCATTCTGTGAGTATCGTTTCACGAACACGGCAGAAGTTAAAAACCTATATAGCGCCTTTAAGGGTGGGTGAGCAATTCGTCGTGTCGTGTAAAATACTTTTTCTGATCTGCTTACCTAAACGTGGTTGTAAAAATGTAATCGTATCTGCCAAGAAGTTGGATGTTTTTATATTAAACTTTCGGCCGTGTGGTTACATTCTGGTTAGACCGTTCACTCATTACTAGTGATAGTTCTAATTATTATTTGTTTATTTATCAGATTACAATTTCGGAATAACTCTGTTTGGCCCACCCCACTAGTATTAAAACTAGTGCACCCTTCTAGAGAATGTGTGCGAATTGTACGTTTAATCGTCCTGCGACCAACCCTCTGTATATCTCGGCGGGTCAGGCGGCTCAAAGTACAAAATCTGGGCGAGCAGTGTGTCGATACGAGGAAAGACTTAGCACAACACGCCCGCGAGCTCTGATTATATGCTACACTTAATGTACTTACTCTCCGACATTGGGGGTAGTAATCCTTGACTGTCTCTCGTCGAGCTTAAGAGCTTTCCTATATATTATTATCATTTCGTATAAGAATCATTCGGTTATTATCCCTCCCGGCGGGCCAACCCACGCTAGCATCCGACATCCCTTCATCCCTCGTCTTGCTCGATCAGATTTTTGTTTGCGGCGCTTTTCTATTCTGTTCGCGTCACAATACAAGTACATTACACACATATTTGTTTTGCCTTAATAACGAATTTAATATTTATTAAAATACTGATTTTTGGAATTCTTAAGTCCGGACCATATTTTCAATTATTAAGATTTGCTCATAATGTGGTGATACCAACTTATTTTGTTTTCAAATGATGTAAATCGCCCGGTTTTCGTATAAATTACTGGGAAAACTTTTTTTAAAAATATTGATGTAAGTATCTAAAATCTAAATTGAAATGTTAACTACTAGTTTTTTAGTTATGTAACTTTGTGTACTAGGGATAATATGTCCATGATAATGAGTTTGGAGGATACATGATGGGTGCCAGAGTGGTTTATAAATTGTATCTAGTAATTAATATTAGTCTAACTTACATTTTATAATTTTGAGCAACACAATGCTTTTTATAAATACGAAATAGCATATATAAGAAATTTCGTACATAACTCAGCTTACAGTGAATTATATCTGACGTGAATAAAAAGAATCATATTATTACATATTTTATTATATTGTATCATATTAAATCGGACTATACTTATAACTTATAAGTTATACTTTATACGGTCAAAAGGGGAGTTCAGCAAATCGAAAAAAGTAAATATTAATATTATTTCATCATGCCTGACGTGCCGTGGAGGTACATTTCTGTGGATGTTCAATGCACAGCTGCCTCTCGTGGGGGGGTACATAATACTTAATATTATATACAACACCCACCCTCACACACAAATATATTATGTTACCATGTTATATTATTATCTGTAGGTATATATAGTATATTATAAAACATCATATTATACGCGCGGTCACCGTGATGCGTATATTATAATATTATATTATACAAGGTACCTAATGGTCGTCACGCACGCCATGTACAATAAATGCGTCGTGTATCGTGTGTGCAAAGGTGGGCATTATTTTAGGTAGGTACCTAGTTGAAAAGTTAAAGCTAAGTTAAAAAGTTAATTTTTTTTTTTAGTTGTTTAACTTCACTAGTTAAAGAATTCATTGTATAAACTTAGGTTGCATTAAAATCATGCGTTTATACGTCATATATAATTAATAATTTTTTTTATACACTGTAACATAATGATTTCAAATACCAATAAATATTTCTTGATTTAGTCATTTAACTCACACAAACTCGTAACTATTGCCTTAACAAATTCAATCAGTTTTGCAGAAAAAAGAATATTATACTATATTTGCTATATGTATAGCATGCATTTTGAACAAAATATTTTATTATTATTCGAGTTGACTGCCACAAGCCCGCAGGCGTGGCGACCCAAGTGTTGTGTTCTAACTGTTTTAAGCCACTTGGGTCACCCGCTTCTCAATCAAACGTTTATATTAAATTTATTTTATTTTCTCATGGCGCTGCGTATATATATTTGACAAATTTTACTATGGTGTAGAGTCTACAGTACACTGTAGTAGAGAAAAAAAATTAAAACCATAAAATTATTCGATAACGACTTTTAATTGATTTCAAAATTGTTTCAAAATTATAATTTAATTAACATTATATTTTTCTAAAATGTACAAACACCAACTTAATAACACTCTTTTTAAATACAATTTTAAAATAATTTAAAAAATAAAAATAAACTACATATTAGGAATTAATATTAAATTTAGTAAAACCTAGGGTGACCAACCATGTGCTGCCTGTATATATAACTATATTCATCATAGGCCTCATGTTAATGGATGACCCAAGATTTTTTTAATTCTCTATGATATTATTTCACTGTATATATTTATATATATATATATATGAATTAATTACAAATCTAACTTGAGCAACTATTTTTTATTTTTTCTATTCATAATCAATAATTGCAAAATATGTATTAACAATAGCCTACAATATTTTTAACTGATTTAGGCCGCCGGTGTACAGGTGGAAAATGTACATATTAAGAAAGCGGGTAAGTGGGTGTCACTCTGCTGTACAGTAGCTGATTATAAGTGGGTCACTGCAGTAATGGATGGTGTTAAACTTTAATTCAATGATATAAATCATAGTCTACTAAAAACGAAAAGACGATCTTTCAGCCAATAATATTACCAAGTATACTAGTACTAGTATATAATGATAATATTGTAATTTAAGTAATTTATTTTACTATTATAGGCATTAGTACAGTACCTACATTTGAAAATATTATTGTGTGTATACTCTAAAAGTTTCATTTACCCACTAATAATATTTTTAAATGAGCTTATAAGTTACGTTTTATAACTAAAATCGTTAATCTTAGTTTTTATATGTAATTTTGTCTAAATTTGTACTTAAAATGTCTGTAAAAAATAACTGTGTTTATATATTTTTTTTAGATTTTTTGGTTACAGTACCTACGAATTATTTATGAGAACCCTTGTTTTAAATATTCAACCCTTATCTATAAAAATTAAACATCTTATAATTTTTTAACTTATACATTTTATGAGTTAACTTTTGATAAATCTTGTCGACATTTGAATTTTAAATTGTTATAAAAAAATAATCGTGGCTATGGATATTGAATATTTATCAACTGCTAATATAACAACTTATATGGAACCTTGTATTACATTTCAAGCTTTTTGGCCCAATGAATAACATTTCATTGACATATGTAGAATATTCTTCTCTTCTTCTTCTAGCTTTTACAGTCCATTTAGGACCTTCGCTGCCTCAACCACATCTTTCCACCTATCTCTATCTTCGCTATCTTCAATCCTTATTAAATCTTCTGAGATTTCCGTGAGATCCGTTTTCACTCTATCCGCCCATCTTTGTCTTGGTCGACCCCTAGGTCTTTTACCGTTTAGTCTTCCATTGAATAGATTTTTTGCAATACCTTCTGATCTCCAAATATGAGCCGCCCATTCTAACCTTTTACTTTTTAGATACGCACTTATAATGGGTTTATTAAACATTTGGTACATTTCTTGGTTAGTTCTTCTTCTATATTCACCATTCTCAATTACATATGTAGAATATACATAGAAAAATGTTTATGAATTTCTAACTTGACTCTGAATACCAACTTTCTAGATTTTGATGAATTTTGTCAACATTTTAAATTCAGAAGCTCATAAAAAATGATTGTGGTATTACGGCCATTTTTTTTTTTAATTTCCACTTACAACAATTTATGAGGATCGTCGTATTACATTTTCAAGTTTTTTGACAGAGCAAATAATTTTTTTATCGACAATAATAAAAAAAACCACAATTTTCTTATGACGCATATAAATAATTAAAAAAACAATAAGTATTTCAAATAATATTTTTACGATGTATAGATCATCCGCTGTTGTTGGCGTGTACGATGAAAACATTTCAATTGCAAATTATTAATCAATCGTTTTCTTGTATTTTTATAATATTAATCGAAATTCTATGTACCTATAGATATTCGTCTATTGATAAAATAATAACTATGTTTTATCATAAACACGACGGAACGCTATAAAAGTGTATATGTTTATACAATGTTTTATAACGCGAAAATTGATTTTTGAATACCTACTTACCGTACCCGCATACATGGAATTATTACAAAATGAAATGTGTCTAAACACGTGATTTGAATCCAACACTGCATAATTTTATGTAATCTTACGGTGCCTCGTGACATTATTATGAGTACGTATTAATACTGTTTTAATCGGACCCGGAGGGCTTTATTGATGGAGAATGGTAACTCCTACAAAAGTGGGTAATCTTCTATATTGATATAGTGTTAACTCCTATACGAGCTTTTATTAAATTAAAGAAAGTTTGAAAATAATATAATTTCTATAAGCCAAACGTAGGTATAATTCATTTTTTTAAATATCTGTCTTATAATAATTATAATACATAATAATATATTACATATTCAAAAACCAATTCAGTTAGGTATATGTGTAATATATACATAATTTAGTATTTTGTTTCATACTTCACTACAGTG